TAACCACAGGTGCGTGAGTACAACACTCCATCACAGATTCCAGACAATACAAATGTACAAGGTTCTCTCATTACAACAATTGTACAATCACATCACCGTAACAAACATTTTTACTCACTCGACATACAGTTGTGACACAGGATAACAAAACACAACACATTGAGGCTCAACACAGATGAACGCATTCCGATTTGACCTCAGCACCTATCCTGTGTACTTCGAGCTGCGCTTGCGTCCTTTCTTGCGGTGCTCACTCGATCTCTTCTTGTTTTTCCTCGTTCTTTTTCGGCGAGCCCTTTCCAACGACGGTATCTGAGGCGGCGTCTCAGCCATCGTTGTCACTTCCGACACCGTTAACAGGTCATAACGTTCAATGGGTCCTGTGTGTTTATTTACCAGCTTGTTCACATCACGGCATTGGGCCTGGCTGGCCGACTCCGTCACCTTTACACTGTCGGTCGGTTGAGGTCGTGCCAACGTAAGTCCAGCTACCCAGCACGTAAACTCATTCAATACAGTCATGTTCTCATTCACTGTCTCTTGCGCCCAAGCTTCACCTTGGGCTCGGCTTGAAATCGTTCACGGGATTGTTCTCCGCTGTTTCTCGCGGTCCCTGTGTCGGCGGGGGCTCCATCTTCGGGTCTTCCCCCAAACATTCTGGATCATTCGGTCCTCGCGCCCCGTCGATGTTTCCGATGACGAGGTCGTACAGGGGGGTCGTCATGCATAGAGCAGTAACCTTCCCACTGAAGTACGAGGTTTCAACCTCAATTTCTGCTTCGGGAAGCATCCGAACCGTACTGTCTAATTAGGCAAACTGGTTTTCTTTCACCTGGTAACTCACTTTCCCGTACCAAACTTCTCCGCACGATAACCGTGGACCTACCTGGTATCTCTTAACACCATAACCTTCTTGCCCGCAACTTTTCCAGGCAGCGTTGGCAATCTCTTCGTAACACCGGTTGGCTGTTTTGTCATTACAGCACCCACAATAGGAAGTTTCTCCCCATTTTTCAACTCTACAAATCCGTCGGTGACGGCATCACCATCCGATTTCGGTGCTGCTAGCACACAGGATACCTGGTGAGTTTGACTCACTCTGTTACGACAAGCGTCTGCTTTGTGCCCAGTCTGACCACACTTGAAACATTTTACGACCGGGGGACTCGTAAAGTTAGTTCGACAGTTGCTAGCGCGATGACCCACTCGGTTACACAGAAAACATCGCGGAACACTCTCCGGTGCACGCTTCTTTTGTTCGGGTGTCGATTTCTTCGAATCTTCGGGACACTCCGTCTTGACTCCGGCCAAATTTGTTCCACCTTGCGCTTCCAAGAATTGATCAGCCAATTCAAGCATGCCTTCAAGCGACTCAGCCTTCCTCTCTTTCAAGTACAGCGACAGGCTTGGGTGGCAACTAGTAAGAAATTGGTCTCTAATTAGGAGCTCTCTAAGCTCATCGTACTCCTGCGCTGTCCCTGAAAGTTCAATCCATCTGTCGAAATAATGGCCAAGTCGGGCGGCATACCGCGAAGCCGTCTCACCATCAGCTGGCTTTCCTGTCCGAAATCTGTACCGGAATCCTTCCACAGTGAATCTAAATCGCTTCAGCAAAGCAGCCTTCACCTTTGCATAGTTGGCTGCATCGGTCGGCGTCAGCCTGCCGTACACACTGAGCGCTTCACCACTCAAGCAAGTACTCAAAGCAGTTGCCCATTGATGTTCTGGCCAATTCTGGCTCCTTGCAATCGTCTCAAATCTGTGAAGGTACGCGTCGACGTCGTCCTTCCTTTCATCAAACGCTACGAGCAGCTTGCTTGGGTTCAAGCGAAAGCCATGGTCCTCCCATTCGCTGCTTTCAACTCTAGCTTGGACCGGAGTTTCACTTCGCTGTTGCAAACGGAGCCGCTCGAGTTCCATCTCGTGCTGCCGCTGCCGTTCCTTTCAGCCATCTCCGCTTCTCTTTCTTCTTTCGCCCTCTCAGCTGCCAGTCTTTCTCTCTCCAACTCCAACTTCAATTGTCGCTCTCTTTCTTCCTTGGCCCTCTCAGCTGCAAACCTCTCTCTCTCCAACTCAGCTGCTTTTTCTTCCTTGGCTTTCTCAGCTGTCAACCCCCCCTCTCTCTCTCCAACTCAGCTGCTTATTTCTTCCTTGGCTCTCTCAGCTGCCAACCTCTCTCTCTCTCCAACTCAGCTGCTTTTCCTTCCTTGGCTCTTTCAGCTGCCAATCTCTCTCTCTCCAACTCAGCTGCTTTTTTTTCCTTGGCTCTCTCAGCTGCCAACCTCTCTCTTTCCACCGCCTCTTTCTCCTTCTGGCTTACCCACTTCCGTAGTTCGGCGCCAGAAAGACCCATCTTCTCACCAAGAGCTACTAACTTTTCGAGATCCATTGTATCTCGCAAATGAAGTCTTGTCTCGTGTAAAAAGAATCTGCCTAAATCAGTCTATCGGAACACTCTCCTGCACTCAGTAACGAGAACACTGAGCAACATACAAAATCGTTCTGATAGCACTATCAACAACTCGAGGCTCTTTCTCACTACTTTGGACACACTGTGCACCAAAATGGTCCTGTCGCGAACGCCAGAATAATTGTCACAGGTCCCGTTAATTAGGGAGGCGATCGCCGAGCTAATTCCAAGGGCCGAAGTATCGGCCCCCCGAACCGCACCACGAAAGCGTGGACAATTTAGAAGTGGTCCTATTTGGCGCGCCAGCGGACGCCGGCTGTGGCCCGAAGAACAAGTCAGAGCAGAGAGTTGATAAACAAAACAAAATTATATTCTCAGTTATGGCAGATCCAAAACGATACACAAGTATGCACACTCGACAATAGTTGAATACAATATGACACCAATCAAACAATGTACTACACAGTACAATCAGCCGAGCTCGAAACAACGAACAGAGACAACAATACGCACTACAATGCAGTCGCATGCATCGAACAACCAAGACACTTAAAGACTAAAGAGTTAGAAAACTTATTCAGTCCAAAGTTTTTGGAACAAAAGTCTGAATGATACTCTTCCGAGAATCACTCACTCAAAGTCCAGCGTTGTTGTCGTTCCGCTGACCCCGAAGTTTCCCTTCCAGGAAACCTCTCGTCTTCACTTGGCCGCTCTCCAAGCTTCAAACTTCTTCGCCGGAAACACGTCGGCTTCCCACACGCAGCTGTTGCCATGCGTCTGCGCCCGATAGCGGTAGACGCACTACTTCTCCTGTAGCTCGAGTCTTCACCCCTCAGGTGGAAATCCTACTTCTTCTCCTTTGTCACTGTGGATAAAAGGTTTCGCCGACAAGGCGGGACACCCTACGCACTCTGGCGCATACTTTCTTCTTCTCCTCCTTTGTCACGGAAGAACAAAACCTTCACCGACAGATGCGGCGGAATACCCCCACGCGCACTGGCGCTAACTTCCTTCTTCTCCTGATCTCCTATCTCTGCTGCTCGGTTAAATACCTTCCGCGCGAGATTCTAGAAAATTCTCATCATTTCGCCGGCGCGATACGCAGCGCAGGCTGGGTAAACCGCGAGACGGTACGAGGGCCGTCCGCGACGGATGACGCAACCCTGCATCACCACGCCCCTTTCCATCGAGAACGTTCCAGGGCTTGCTCGGGCGCCGATGAGAGGAGGTTCGTCGGCGAACCCACGCTTCGGAGGGGAGAGGGACGCGCACCCGGGGAGTCTTTGGATGCTTGTGTTCTTTTTTTGTTGTTGACCTCGAGGCATCCTTCCGGCGTTTCGTCGCAAGAATTTGGCGGCGCGCCCTTTTTGAGCGCTCGTTTTGTGACAGGTGCCACCGGACCGATCAGCTATAGAGGCTGTTGAACTTTTGCAGCGCTATTTTGAGCATGAGGCTTGTCCAGAATTTCTAGCTAGTTTGTCAGACATGTGTGCGTACCTTGTGAAAAAACAACTCAAGCTTGCCAAACAAACCACTCTTCACTCTTTTTTTTTTTCTTCTACTCATCCTCATGAGTAAGGTGAGGTTTGTACAATTTTAATAAAGGTCTTGGTTCACTAAATAAGTCTACTTTGCTTAAATGAAACTTCTCATAAATGGAACAGTTTTATAGATCCCCTTCGAGTTCTGTTAAAGAGGAGTCGACTGTACAGTTCGTTTCGGACAAACTTTTTATGCCATTAAACATTTGTGGTTCTGAGCTGTCAATGGCTCGTATTGTTCCTCATTAACTGTATAATGAAAATAACTATCTTGAAAGTTTGTATAAGACATTTTAATAGGCAAGAAAATTTGTAATGTGAGAATTCCTAGAATGTTCAGCCCATACTAAGTGCTCATTTTAGCTTTGTAATAATCATACAGGCGATATCAAGTTTTAAATGAGAAACTTGCATCTTTCACTATTTAAAGAATATCTGAGCAAGATTTCATCCTGATCTGGCCATCGGAAGTACCAAAAACGTGTTGTCTAACCTCAAGAAGTTGTCCAAAAATGGATCTTGAGAAAAAAAGCATTTTGAAGGTGTAAGTCACAGCTCATCTATAGGGCAGAAATATGTTTTTAAAGTGATTTCTTCTATTATGAGAGTTTGAAAATTATTGTTACTTTGAGCATGTGGCTTTAGTGAACTTCTCATGCAAAATGCAATGACAAGCAGCCAGGTTACAATTTCCAGCGGGCTCATAGACAATGACTTCTTTTCAGTTTTTGATAACCACCTTGTGCTTATTTAGTGAGTTTAATTGAAATAATCAGTTTTGTTGTTGTAAAGATCAGGAAATTATACTGTGAAAGCAAATAAAAACAAGAAATATATAGTTTTGAAAAAAGCTTTATAAGTTCTTCGACTCGAATCTTCCCTTAAACAGAGCTGTCATTTTCTAGTCAACATACACGTACGCTGATGCAGCTCTTCACCAGGCTAACAAGTGTCTCTTTGCTCGAATATTTCACCTTATTGCAATAAATATTAACTACTTTTGTACGAGCGTGTTAAGACTGAATGCCCGCATGCATTTTTTTATGCAGAGCCTGTGAAGAGGCGACCAAAAGCACCAAGACGAACCCCACGGCGGAAAAAGCCAAGCAAGGTGGATTCCGGGGCGTCATCAGTCGCATCGGTTGAGGTGCGCAAGGGACCGGGACGGCCAAAGAAATCGCCCCAGCGTACCAACAGGCGCGTAGGGCGCAAGCCAATGAAGTTCAGCGGCCTCGATCTGCCTGCATGCCCAGACGGTGCTGAGCACATCCAGTGCAGGTGAGGGTCAAAGCTGGCGTGCGCATAGTTTGCGAATAGGCGGGCTGTGGTAATGTTGCGGTAGCATTAAGATCATCACTTTTCTACCGCTTTGACATTACAATGAGGCTATCCCCTTTTGTGGCTCTGCATATGACTTTGGTATTTTAAAGAAAATTGCACAATTGCTTTCGTAGTCCGTGCAGTTTGTGTCTGGTGCAGAAATTTCCAAGGTATGTTCTAGTAACAATAGAGATTTCGTAGGTGGCATTTAGCAGTGTCAACATTTTTATTCGAAGCAAACGTATATCTTTTTCTCGTAGGAAAGCTTTTCTAAATCTCTAGTAACATTGTAGTTGTCCAGTGCGTTCATGCATGCGTAGTATGTTTCTAAGACGTTTCCCGCACTTATTGGGTGTCATACATGCCCGACTCGCTGCATTAAACTATGTTTATGTTTTATGTTATGTTCTAATGTTCAGTCATGCTGTCATCCTATGCAAGATGTGCTAGCCCATCAAGGAATTGCAAGGTTACTTCAAAGTGTTTGCCACTGAGCAAATAGAGTAGGACAGTTTAGATAAAGTGCAACTTCAATAGAAGCAAGAAAAACTTGGCCAGGGTGATTGGCTTGGTTTTTTTAAAACACCTGCTGGTTGTCACCTTATATCAACCTTCTCCGCATCCCAAAAACCTAACGTGCCAGTGGTGGTGTGCTAGGGAGCGAATGGCAGAAAGGAAAACAGTGCAGGTGCGCCTTGTCTCGTAGTTAACTTGCAACGGGTTTCAAAGGCTGGAGGACAGAGTGAGATGGCAACATATTCTGAAAAGACCACCATTATTTGCTGCTGATGATACGAGCATGTGGGTTTGCCACCGGAGTCTACAAATCATTGTAGAGAAAGGTGCGTTCTGTGTTGCACAAGGAGAGGTTTAATTGTTGAGACTAGCTAACACAATTCATAGCCGGAAAGAACCGGAGACGGGGTGCATTGCCAGTACAGTAGACTCCTTTTAAGGGGGGACACGGGTCTTTGGATGCAAGAAATCGTCACAAAAGCGGTTTTTGAAATAAGGCATTTTTAAAATCTACATTTATTATTCTCCTTATCTGCCAAGTTTCTCATCTTGAAAGGCCATATTTCAGCCATAATGTCAATTTAAAAACATACCCGGCGGCCGGTTTTTCATCTGTGCCGACTCTAAAATGACGCATCTTCAACTGCGCCGCGCTCGCGTTCAACTGCCTCGAAAGCGGCCGTCTTGGTCGCGTTGGAAAGAGCAAGTTTTCGGCTTCATATATCGCGCACTTTCCGCTTTGGTAGGCCTATTGGCTGAATACAAAAAGATTGCCAAAAATGCGAGAAGCGCACATTCTCATTCGCTGTAGCAAGCACGTGACAAAATAGCGCCATGTGATTGGCTGTCCTCATCCTTAGCTGTCTGCTAAACGCTCTAGAAGCGTCATTTTGGATATGGCTCTTGGGTGGCGGCGTGCGACTATGGGCCCTCCACTCCATAAGTTTGCATCCAAGCACAAGCGTGGAAAGAAGAGGAAGAAGTCAATTCTCAATAACCTCCACAAACGCCCGCCGCTTCGCAAGTTGTGGAGAATGACCCGCCGATGGCGCCAAGCGATGGCACGGATGCAGGGGACGACGACGAGCGAGGGTTAGGCCTAGGCGGAGAGCCGTCGAGTGCATGCGCGTGACCAAACCGCCAGCCGCATCCGTCGCGATACAGTTATGCGGACGCCTTCAGATCTGCAGCTGATAAAGAAGAGAGCCGACGAGCAACTGCAAGAGCTCGCGTCAACTGCGGCAGTGACCCGTAAGTCGAACATTCTGTCCGCTAGCGATGTCGCGACCGACTTGGTCGACGATACTGTTTTCACCGTGTTGTGTTTGGATTCGCTGAACGCCCCTCTTCTGGAGTACATGAAGTGCAAGACTTGCGGTGGCAGCGCAAAAGTAAGCCGGAAGAAGCGAGAGTACGGCCTTGCAGTCAGTCTGGTGCTCACATGCTCGAATTGCGGCGACAAAGGGTCTGCATGGAGCTCGCTGCGAGTGGATGGGACTCCAAAGCTAAATTCGTTCACTATAAATATTCTGGCTTCGCGAGCGATGCAGAGCACTGGCAATCTGCAAATGGCGTTTTATGATATTTTTGCAGCTATGAATATCTCGCACCGCGCGCCGCACACAAAAACGTGGCAGATGTACCTAAAAACGAAGTTGATGCCTGCCGCAACTCGGGCAGCCGAGACGCTCATTACTGAGTGCGCGAATTCGGTCCGGCAGCTGTACAGCACATTAAATTTCCGCTACCCAGGAAGCATCGCCGTTTCCTATGACGGGTCTTGGATGACTCGTGGGCACAGTTCCCACATTGGTGTCGGCACCGTAATCGAACTTTTCACCGGACTTGTGTTAGATTACAGTGGAACTTCAATTATACGTCCCCCGGTCCTGTGACGACCCGCGTTTACGACGAATTGGCTTGGTCCCGGCAAAACCCCCATAGAACTAATGTATTGAAAACCTCAATTCTACTACGCAATTTTACGCCGGCCCCGCCTCGAACGACGCTTAGCTGGACTGTCCAAGAAAAAAAAGAAAAAAAAAAACCCTACGATGACGCACGCGGGCTGCCACGCAAGCACACTGCGGCCGGAAGGAAAACTTCGGGAAACCGAGGAAACGAGTTCCTTCCGCCATGTTCTAGCACACTATCCGCGCTGCCACCACAGGACCTCTTCAATTTTTCGACACGCTGTCGACCATAGCTAGCCAGAGCCAAGGTTATCCAGAGCCAGCCAGAGCGCATTCGTTTTGCTTAGTCGCATTGCACTGCGCACTTCCGTTGGGGCCTTTTTTTGTTTTGTTTTCTGCTTCTTTTGGGTGGTTTTGTAGTGACAGCTGTGAGCAGGTAACATGGCAGATAATTTCGAGCTTGCTTTTTAGTATGCGATAACTTTCACTAGATTTCGCGCAGCTGTACTGGTCGTGTTGAACGGCGATTGTTGAGCCTGTCTACGTTTGGGACAGCCGCGGGAACCGGAACTAGCTGCTGTCTAGCTACCAGAGGGCTGGGGAGTTTTAGCCCCTCGCGATTCATCGAAGCTTGCGAAGACGTACGCGCTTGCAAAAATCGAATGGGCCCACTGCCTTGTTGCCTTTCAGCCAATCCTTCACGTGTTTGTCTCATCGGTGGGTTGTGCGCCGCAGGTGCTGCGTCTAGTATGTGCAAAATTTTCAGTATTCGGACATTGGTGTGCGAGGAAGCTTTTGCATTCTTGGTTGCGTGTGCTGCTTCTCGCAATGTCGCGGAACCGAATACCGTGACATTGCGTCGCTGGATGACATTATCGAAACTGTGCGTCCTGACACTGCGGGAACTTCAGACGAGGGAGAGATGGATGACACTGCAGAGGCTAGTGCGTTCGTTCTGACGTACGCGGACGTGTTGTGCTACGTCAACAATATTCGGCGGTTTGCTTACGCACGCGACGAGATCAGCGACTTGCTGCCAGGTGTCGCAGCTCTCGAAAAAAAGCTGATGCATCGTGGCTGGGCAAACTCGCAGAAAAAAAATCACAGAATTTTTTAAAAGGTGAGAATAAAGATTTGTTCACACCTCCGATAAAAACCGTGGTTGTCATTTTTTCAAGTAATTTAATCTACCTTCATCGGAGCAGCGTAGATTTGTGCCGCTGTTTTTCTTACGCATTATGTGACAAATGTTGTGGGGCAACAACGACCATCAGTGCCTATATTCTTGGTTATTCGATTATACGATGCCCGGATTATACGACGATTTTGCTTCATCCCCTAAAAGTCGTATAATTGAAGTTCCACTGTACGATGTGCTTAGCAACTTTTGTGCCGGATGCGAGCGCGGACCAAAAGTTGATGATGCAGCATATGAGGAGTGGAAGACCAACCACGTTTGTCAAAAAAATACTGATAAGAAGGCAGGAAAAATGGAGGTGGAGGCAGGCATCATTTTATTCAAAAGGTCTCTTGAAAAGCACAGCTTCAGGTACACCACAGTGCTGTCTGACGGCGATAGCCGTACATTCCTGGCCCTGAAGGAGGCCAAAGTGTACGGGTTTATCGAGGTGCAGAAAGAAGACTGCATAAACCACGTGCACAAATGAATGGGAACAGCACTTCATAATGTGCTGTCAAAGCATAAAGGGCCTGGCTTGGAGCCTCTTGGGGGACGAGGGAGGCTGACAGGAGACTTGGTTACAATACTCAGCTCTTACTATGGCTGGGCTTTGAAATCACACGTTGGTGACATAGACGCGATAGGAAAGGCTGTGATGGCTAGTTACTATCACATAACGTCAAACGATGAAGCTAGTAATCACAGTCTATGCCCAAAAGCACCAGATTCTTGGTGCCGGCAAAACGCCGCAAAGGCCAAGGGCCAGCCAGTCCCAAAACACCACTACGATTTGCCTCCTCATGTGAGCAAGGCACTGCTGCCAATTTACTAACGGCTTTCTGACAGGCAGCTGCTTGAACGGTGCCAACGCGGCAAAACTCAAAACAACAACGAGAGCATGCACTCTCTGATATGGGCTCTCGCACCAAAGGAGCGACACGCATCCCTTTTTAGTGTCGAGTCGGCTGTCGCAGAAGCTGTGATGAAGTTCAATGCTGGCTGCAAGAGGACCTCAGCAAGCATCTTGCAGGAGCTCTGCATGAATCCTGGAGAAAAGTGCATGCAGCGGATGGAGGAAAAAGATCGCCGCCGTTCAGCTGCATCTGAATGCAAACGTGCCTTGGCGGAAAATGTGCAGTGCGTGCTCAAAAAGCGCCACAAAGGTGCCAATTCCCAAACTGACTATGTTCCAGGGGCCTACTAATGTTTTATAACTGTTTCTGTGCAATATTTGTGATTTTGTGCAATTAAATATGACAATTTTTTCTTTTCCTGATTTTCTCTAAATGGCAATTTTGTATACCATAGTTTTTTGCAGCGTGAAGCTATATGCTTGGTGCACACAACATAGGAAGCAGATATTATTTTTTCCTTAATTAAGTTTTTTAAAATTAGTCATTTGTGTGACCACTCCATGCCCACATTCAGAGCCATGAAGTTTAGTGTACTGTAATATAAGAAATAATGACCCAATCAAAAAAGTGCTTCCTATGTTGTATGTCTTATGCTTTCTACTGTCAATCCCTTTGTCATCTATAAATTTTTGACTGGTAGTTATTTTTCTATTGTGGTAAGAACAATAGAAATTGTTATGTTGATTATTTAATTAACTAATGAAGCTACAGAAAGAATTGCTACATTTTTAGAATCAGGAGAACAAACTAAGTAAGCATTCCAACTCTTATCATATTCCGTTAAAGAATAGATACAGAGAGCCCCAAAACCCGTGTCCACTCTTAAACGAAACCAGAAGGAACCAGGAAAGTGTTTCCTTTAAGAGGAGTTTTGTTTACTGAGAGATAAATAGGGGTATGATATTCAAGTACAAAACGAAACATATTAGGGGCAGTTGTTTCATTTAAGTGGCACTTTCATTTAAGAGAATTTCATTTGATAGGAATTTACTCTACTACTAAAGCAGCTCTGCCTCACTCCATTGCTTCCCTTTGGCTCAGCTCAATTTTCGGTTATGACATTATAGTTTTTATGGCACTTCAGTATTGTTAACATACTTAGCCAAAATCATTTAGTGCTTTTCTGATCATATGGCAATTAAATAGAGGTGATGTCGCATTATTCAGATTTTTGCTGTACTTATTGGTGCTACTGGTTAAGTATTTCTCAGCATACTATGCCATGAACAAAGTTATGAACAAAGTTATGAACAAAGTCATGAATAAAGCCATGAACAAAGCCATGAACGAGGCATCGATTGTATGTGCAGCTGCCATGCACACGGAGCCTGCCCCGGGCTGTGTGGACCAGAAACTCGGGGGCTTGGCTCCGGAAGAAGGGTCGCTCTCTAGCGAGCTGCCGACCGGCTTCCACGAAGTCACCATCAAGACCGAGCCACCCACGGAGACGTCCATGGACAGCATCACAGCGGCCGCCTTGACCAGCTCAATGGCCGCGTCGGGCCCGCCGCCGCGACCGCTGACTCCATTGGTCGAGCCGCCCGAGCTGAAGGCAATGCTGAACGATTTTCGGGCGCAGTACATGGCCATGCTGAACCACATGCGGACCGAGCAGTACCGGCAGCAGGTCAAGGAGCACATTGCCAGGGAGAGGGTCAGTGCTCTTTTTCCAAGATCGCAGATTCCTTGCAAATCTTATTGCTTTGGCTGTTATACATGTGCATAATTTTTGGTTTCCTTATGGTGAGCTGCATCTTTGTTCTGACTACTTTAAATTAATGTATTGAAGTTAGTCTTTCTGCTTTAGATTTTCTGGAAAGATTTAATTTACTGGTCGATATAATTTACCAAATTCACTTTGGCTTTGTTTCGTTCTTACCGCCCATTGTGTGATGTAGGCCAGTTGATAAAGTAATGGCGGTGTCTTATATTCAGCGCCATTTTGAAGGTAACTGCAGGTCAGCCGCACCCCCTAAGTTTACCGTTACATTGTCACAAAGGTCAAATGGTTTACCGTCAGTGTCACAAAGGTCAAATTGTTAGGCTGCCTAACGATTCTCTTTTAGTGTTCCAAAGTTTCTCTTTAAAACCAAATTTAGGGAAGTGGAGTAGCTTTTATAGGGCGATATTTGGAATGATTTTCATGATGAAAGCCCGCTGTTGTGCACTCAAGGCAATGCAGGAAAGCGAAACCAACAATTAGTTTTTCTATCTCATGTGCCCTTCACTGCCATGATAATGGCAGTGAAGGGCACATGACAATGAAAATTACCGTAAATAGCCACGTATAATACGTACCCGAATATAATATGAGACCAAATTTTAGAGGCGCGAGATGAAAAAAATTGTACCCACGTATAAAACAACGTAGGAAAGGTCACCGAAAACACATTTATTGAGCAAACATCCGCCATGTCAATCGCGGTCGTCTTCAAGTGCACTTTCTTCAGACATTTCCTTGTCAGAAAAATCGTCAAATAGGGGCTCGTCTTCTGTGCCATCGAGGGCATTAGAGATGCCACACTTCTTGAAGGAACGACGCCCAAAGTCCTCTGGGATGCTTGCCCAAGCGTCCACGATCCATCGCATAGCGTGGCTGGCGATGCCCGTTTCAGCCGCCCTGTCGGCGTAACTGCATGCTCACCTGAGCGCGTCCACTCGGCCTAGCAACACTTAACCGCATCCTTGAACGGCTTATTTTTACAAACGTCGAGTGGTTGCAGTTGGGATGTCATCTCACCCGGGATAACGACCAGTTCCGTGCCACAGTGGCGCAAGAGCCTCTTCACTAAGTCGGCCAAATGGCAGCGAAATGCGTCCAGCACCAGAATGGATGGAAAAGACAGCAGGGCACCAGGCCGTCTGCACCACATGGACTTTACCCAGTTTAGGACAAGGTCTTCGTTCATTCAGCCTTTATCATGATATCTCACGATGACATTCTTCAGTAGCTCCTCCCCTTTCGGCATTGTCTTGCACTTGAAGATGACATAAGGTGGGAGCTTGTGGCCATCCGCCATGCACGACGACACCACTGTGACAGGAGTTTTTTCATTGCCTGTGGTACGGACACTAACCTGCTTTGGGCCCTTCTCATGAGTTGTAAGGGGCGATGGCATGTCCAGGTAAGCTGGCGTTTGATTGGTGTTGCCGATTTGTCCCAGCTGGAAGTTCTGTGAGCGGCGCAACGTAATCACATGGCGTTTAAATTAGATAAGAAGCTCTTCAAAGCCTTCAGGGAGCTTCTGAGAAATGGAGGTTCGCCAGCGCAGGGAAAATCCAGGCTCGGAACATGGAACGATAGATCCAGTGCTTGCTGGCTTTGAAGTCCGAGCTCAACACCCCCTTTTCTCTCGCCAGCTTCCTCGCTTTCGTCTGCATCAGATCTATGATGACTGGCAAGTGCTCCGCCTGCTGCTGTTGAAGAACTCTGTCAGTGCGAGTTCATTCTTTGGGAAGGCTGCTTTCTTCGGACCGCGAAAGCTTTTTTGCTTTCTGCTGCACGCGAAAAGCGCTTCTTTCTGTCATCCCTATCCACGGACACTTCCCTCGGTGACTTCGAACTGTCTTCTGGTCATACTGTTGTCGATTTCCTTGGCAGCTGCGATATGACCTTTCTTTTGAATGCAGCCGAGTACTGGTTTCGGTGGCCTGGCATGTTGCACCTTTGCGAAGTGAGGCACAAAACACAGCAGGTTCACACGTTCGCCCGTCCGCTGTCCAAGCGCTCAAAAAACTCAACAGCAAAGAAATAGTGCTAGCGCTCACTCTTGCCACACGAGGGCGCGAAGATAACAAAGCCAGGCCGTAGCCACTCGTAGACAAAACGAAGCCGTAGCCAAGCGGCAGTTACGAAACCGAAACTTCAAGCACAATTTCGTTTTTCGAGTAAGTTTTCGTTCGGATCCGCACATAGTATTAAGCGGAAATTTGGAACGCTAATATTTGGAAAAAAACCTCGTATTATATGCGGGTAGGTTGGGGCAGTTAATGCTAATCGCCAGTGTGATTTCTACTGATTAATTTGGACCTGCCTTTGTGATCTGCTATCCTTTTGATTAGCTGGGATGGTAGAGGGTGTGTCTACCCAGTTCGATTCTCTAACCACAGTAGAAGTTTGAAACAGAAATCGCTTTTATTTGAGACAGGATGATGAAAACATCAGTGATTGTGTATTTACATGCGTACAAAGCAAACATGAACTTGCTTTTTATATAACCCTTCAGTAATGTTTAAGTGGGGAGGCGGCTTTGAAAAAAAACTTTTTTTATCTGTTGACCTACAGCAATGAAATTTGGCATGCATACTCATAAGTGTCTAGAATAGGGAAGTATGCAGTTTCATCATGATAGCTTCAGTAGTTCTCAAGTTACATAATGCTACACGATCCAATTACATGGTCTGCTCGTGGAAAGCCTAGCGCTGCAACAAAACATGCCAGGAAGCTGCGAATGATGTTGATCTTTACTCAAAAGAAAGCTACAGGGTATGACACTCTCGGAATTTTTTAATAATTTCTCATTTTTTTTTAGAGATCATCATGGCTGCCGACACACATTGTCGGAAACAATGGCACGGACAAATCATCGTCTAGAAAAATAACAGGGCCACAAAACAGAAATTGAAGATTGCTGTACCCACAAGCAGTGTTCAGGGATTCAGGGAAAAACAACAGAATCAAAATCGGTCCAGTCAATCAAACGGGCATATAAAAATTCGTGCCCCTGATTCACACATGCTCTTTCGCCGCTCTAGCCGTGAAACGCATCATCATATAGCCTGTCGCGGAAACTCTAATCTACAGCAATTCATTAATCTCGGAACATTCATAGACAATCGTGGCGATATCAAGCACTGCTCCAAGCACGTCTGAATCGCATCACAAAAGCTTACTGACGGCACTCCATATGACCGTGGGGTGCGCGGCCGCGTGGACAGTGCAGCCGGCGCGTAATGCTCTTGCCGGTGGCGTTCGATGACGATGTGCGAAATGTGTAACTACGAAGACAAAAAATCGGAACGCACTGCACTTGGCATTGCATTTTCGAATGACGATGCGCGAAACTGCTAGCCGCTGTTTCGAGCGATCCTTGGCAGTGAAGGGGGGGGGGGGGGGGTGACGAGCTTGACTGTGTTGTCCGCTGCCGATGCGTAAAATGCCCGTACAATATTCAGAGGAGCTAGCGAGTGATGTGGTACATTCCTTGCAAAGAAGCACGTCACCAAAAGTGCGCTTGCGCGTCGTTCCTGCCCACAGTCTCGTTGTCAGCGGAGTTAGGCCTGAAGCCGACTTCGATGACGCGCCGCACTCGTAGACCGCCGCGCGCCCGCTCGTAGTAATCTGATCGTGCATCCGGTGCGGCCACTCGTAGTAATCAGATCGTGCCGCCGCTTACAGCTTCGTTGCTTGCGAAGAAGCACGTCGCCACGAATGCGCTAGCGTGTCGTTCCTGCCCGCAGTCGGCGGAGTTAGGGCTAAAGACGACTTCAATGACGCGCGGGGCTCGTAGACCTGCGCTGACGCTCGTAGTAACCTGATCGCGCATCCGCTTACTGCTCGTAACTAAAGCGTAGTTATATCTTAAGTGATTATCAAGCCGTGAACACGTCACGAAGTGGCGATTTTCGAGAGCCATGTCCTCGCGACGCACAAGCAGCAGACAACAATCTCCCGGAGCGAGCATCGGGCCAATGGCGAGGCGAGCTGAGGCAACATGGCGGCTACGGCCAATCAAGGGACTCAAAACGACCTTCAAACATTTGCTTTTTGCTCGCTTGTTGCTAAAGGGAGGAGCCAGCTGAGGCGGGAAAGTTAAACACGGAGAAATGCTCTTTTCGATGAGCCCAAGAAGCCGGCTCCCGGCCCAAGCATAGCGAAGCTATTATTTTTTGAAAATCGCCGTTTTCTCGCCATTTCCAGGAAAATTTTTGCTACCTAGGTGGGTGAAACGAATTTTCCGAAGCACTTCTGCGCGGTTTTCAGTGTAGATATTTTGGAACCAGATAGAAAAAGGGTTCCAGAAACTGAAAACTTGAGTTTCAAAAAATCGATTTTTTTGCCGTTTTTCGCGATCCCAAAGCCGCTCCCCCCTTAATTATTCTTTAACTGAAATTTAATTCAATCTTTTCATTAATTGATTTGATTGATATGTGGGGTTTAACGTCCCAAAACCACCATATGATTATGAGAGACGCCGTAGTGAATCTTTTCATTAAGCTGGCTGTATGGATCCTGTTGAATTAAATGTTGTTGCATTTACAGTTATTAACGAGTGCAAAAAGAAAATTTTATGGTTCTAGCTTTATGACAACAAAAGTTATGAAGCACCAAAGTTCACCATTTCATTACCGAGAAAAGATATTGTTATTTAATCTTTAGTAAAAACCCGTACTTTCCTACAGCAACATATGGCACTTTCTTTCACTCACTTGCACTCCTACAACTCTTTGCATATGTTGGTGACCGTGCATTTGAGGCGGACAAAGTTGAGCATGGCTACTGTGACGTCAAAAGGTCTGTTTTCAGGCGGGTGATTTAAAGTGCGCTGACATGGTGTGCACAGCAAAAAAGTGAATTAATTTTAAATTAACTACTTCCTTGGCACAAATTGTGTTACGAGGTTTCTGGACTGCTATTTAAACTATCGACATCAAGTTAACGTTTTCATTCTGTGTCCCTGAAAAAAAAAAAAAAAACATACTTTTCTGTTCTAGCCGCGGTGGCCACATTTGAAATGGTGGTGTTTTTGGTGAAAAAGTTCCTAATGGTGGTGGCCTGTGATCCTATCTCTTTCTTTCTGGCAGGAACGCAACGAGAGGCTAGTGGCTAAAGCAGCACACTTGGAGCGGCAGATCAAGCACCTCATCGATGACAGCGTGGTCCTGCTCAAGGCACGCATGAACGAGCTGGGAGTGCAGAGCCACACACCCGCCGACCTTATCAACAAAGTGAGCATTTGTCATTTGACTTGTGGTCTTTGACGTAGCTTTCCGCGTTAGCAACCGCAAGTGCAGTGACAGTTTAAAAGCATGAATTGCTTCTAGCTCTTTGTTGGCCGCCTTGAAGTGTGGCAAGCGCCGTTGTCCGTGTACTCGCACCAGACCATACGGGCAGTTTTGGGAATTCAAACAAGACCTTGGGCTGCGCATGTGAGATCATCTGGGCGTCATAACCGGAAGAAAATGACACATAAGGACAGTCAGCCCAAAGTTTTAAAAAAAAAGTGCAGTCTTTGGCAATCAAGCCTTCATACAGGACTTCATTACACAAACTAGCAGTGGTACAAACAAATGTGAATGTGAAATGTGCCCATGTGAATATGTGAAAGATTGTGGGTAGTATGATCTACCAATGTACTTTGCCGGCAGACATTTCATCTCCCGATCATGGAAGATAGTTCCCCCACCCCCTACCAACTCTGTTTTCGAGCGGGAAAGAAATAGAGGGAAGACTTAGTCGACGCTGATTCTTGGATGTGCCTAGGCTGTTGAGATGAAATTGTGCATGCGCTGAAACTCCTGAACATAGTGCGACTCTGGAACTAGTCTAGCAAGTGCACTCTTCGAACTCCATCTTTATCGGTCTGTGACGATTGTGTTTCGTTCGCCGATCTTAAGTTGTACCATCAGTGGTGAAGGGTGCTTGTGCACATTTGTATGTTCTGGATCTCGCTTTGGTATTTGATATTATCATTACCAGTGCATCTTTATTTGGGCCTCAGCATGGGATTATTATTGGGATACTGTTGCTTGGTTTCGGTGCTGACAATTTCAGTTATAGAAATATAGTACGGAAAATTTTAGGTGGGTGTGCTTTTCAGAGTATTATCGTTCCAAAAGCTCCTGTTGGATCACCGTCTATGGGAAGAATTAATTCAGTAGGGTGCAGTCGAGGCTGCGCTGACATATTGTGAAGCAATTTCCCTGGGTGCAATAACAGTGCGCAGCGGATTTCACGGCAGTGTGTATCACCTCGTCAAATTGTTTGTACAGTGGCGTCTTCAGAGAGCAAGTGCCGACAGCCATCGTACACTGCTTCAGGTAAATAAAAGTTTGTGGCAGTTTATGAAGTTTTATCTTTTCATTTGAGAAACAAAGACTCATCTTTGCCATGTCTCGGCAAAGGGGAATTATCGAGATTTCTTTCATTCTAATAGAAGTGGGTTTTTCGAACTATATGTTATTTTACTTGTTTAGGCATCGGTAGCAATCTGCATTATTTGTTCTAGAGGCTCTGGAGAGTTGAAAGTGTTGAAGCATGGTCTAATGAAGTGGTTATTCTGAAGCTGTCCTCCATTTTGTTTGCGAGTCTAGAGGAGTAATTTGATCAACACGTGATATCGGGCCTGCGACGGTAAAGACACCACCATATTTTGTTTTTCTTAGTGGTAAAGTGCTGCCTAAATAAAGGAGGATCACAATGAGCATTTATATAGTTTGCCGAATTTGTCTTACTGCCACAATTAAAGATGTTTTTTTTTTCCTGAAAAATCAGGTGCACATTCGATATTATACATTTCTTAGGTGTCATTTTTCTACCTTGGGACAGTAAAACGGTATTGATTGTTCGATTTGCGGCAACCTTACAGTGTGGTCAAATGCCACCTAGTGGAGTCAGTGGCACATTTTATCATTTTCTTGGCCGCTAGCAGAATTTGACCACTAGCAGAATTTGACCACAGGAATTGTTTGGCCGATTCCTTTAGTCGGTTCGGTTCCTCCTGGGCTGACTTATTAGAAGTTGCCTGGAATTGCAAGAAAATTTTGGCACAGGACACACGTGCAAGCATATGCGAACACCCATTGAGCAGATTCAGCGTTTGAAGACATCTATATTGTAAAATTTTGCAAATACGCTTATCTTGCTTATGTTGCACAGGGATCGGAGCTGATCTACTCACTTTATACTCTCGTTAAACGGAACCTGAAGGCACTGGGAAAATGTTTCCGTTTACCAGGGATTCTGTTTACTCGTAGATGAACAAGGGTGGAGAATCTAAGTATGAGACCAATCGTGCTGAAGGCAGTTTTATATGCATATAAGCAGCAGTTTCGTGTAACAGATTTCAGTTTACTGATGGTTTTCTGTGTGCACAATCCTTTGCAGTCTTTCACGAGGTGAACAGCAGAGCAGAAAAAAGATGGCGATCAGAAGTAACGACGAATGTTGTGTGTGTCATTCTTTCTTGTATTTTTTGTATTTTCACACCAGTTTTCATTCTGCATTATTGCAAAACATTTCAGGAAATATCATTTCGTCCTTGTCCTACTTCTCTTTTTTGTTCGGTGCAGGCAAAAGAAATTGTGGTGCGCCACAAGGAATTGCAAGCAAAGGCAGCAACCTTGGAGCGAGAGGTCATTCACCTGGAGGAGCAGCAGGCAGAAGTGCTGGCGAGGCAGGTTCCAAACGTCAGGGTCCCGCTACCCCCGACACAGGGGGTCACGGCCAACAACCATCTGGCTTCATCGACAGGAGTGGACAGCTCCGCCGCTGTCCCCACCATTACCACCTCGGCTGCTGCGGCGACTACCAATGGCTTCTTTCTGCCCCACAACCCTGAGGTAAGTGTTGGCTGGAATATTCGAAGAGGCGTCCGGAACAGGGATTCTATCGCTGGATTCCTTGAAGAGCATTTTCCGACCCCACAAGGAGTCGCAACCGAGGGATGTGCGAATAGTTAACTTTAGAACATAATCGAATTCAACAGCAGTGATGCCAAATTAAATTCTATTAGAATATATTTCAAATCATCAGACAGCCTGAATCGAATTTTTTCTTTCATTTAACGAAGTGATTGAAGCCAAATTTGCACATAGCAAGTCTGCAAGTAGCGAGAGATGCATGCAGTAGTGGCTCCAGACTTGTGTAAGCACAGTGGGCACCTCGAAATTTGTGCGTTTTGCAGACCTACGGTGACAGCGCACGTAGCACTGTTTGTGTCCACAAGTTTATAACCAATGCGGACATCAATTGGACCATTAATTCAACCAATGCAAACTTCAATTTGACAGAAGGTCATGTGGGCTGTTTAAGCGGCATTAATGGGGACGTGGGACGTGTTGTTTGTGGCTCAGAGCATGTTGACCTTCATGTGGTGTAGTTTTTTTACGGGCTGCTTTGCCCCAGCACTCTGTCAATATTGTAATCGAAACCCGAAATGATTGCTTTGATACGAGTGAGGGGCATCGCTTTGTGCTTGCTGTGGGCTGCACTAGCATAATGTTAGCCCTAACGACCAGCGCATCAAGGGCCATTTTGTGGCGTTACGGGCATTCTTATAAAACGAGCCTCTATACAGCGGACGCTTCGTTTGCGTGAAGACATCGTTCAGGTCATGAGGTGTGTGAAGCTTGCATTAACTATACAATCAGCAGGTGCTTTACTATTCGCCATGCAGTACAGAAATGGGAGAAATCGCAAGTCTTCTCGTTTATTGAAAGTTTCAACAACAGCAGTGATAAATTTAAGGGTAACCAGCCAGTCCTCCGTTATGTTGATGGCTTGAAGGGCCGTCATCATCCAGTGTTACACTGGGGTCTGCTTGGTTGTTTCGTTAAGATATGTTTAGAAATGATATACAGATTGATAATTCACATGTCATCATCATCATCATCAGCCTGACTACGTCCACTGCAGGACAAAGGCCTCTCCCATGTTCCGCCAGTTAACCCGGTCCTGTGCTTGCTGCTGCCAATTTATACCCGCAAACTTCTTAATCTCATCTGCCCACCTAACCTTCTGTCTCCCCCTAACCCGCTTCCCTTCTCTGGGAATCCAGTTAGTTACCCTTAATGACCAGCGGTTATCCTGTCTACGTGCTACATGCCCGGCCCAAATTATGACAGGTAGATTGCCACTATCCCTCAAGAGGAAGGTATATAACAGCTGTATCTTGCCGGTACTTAGCTACGGAGCAGAAACCTGGAGACTTACAAAGAGGGTTCAGCTTAAATTGAGGACGACGCAGCGAGCAATGGAAAGAAAAATGGTAGGTGTAACCTTAAGAGACAAGAAGAGAGCAGAGTGGATTAGGGGACAAACGGGGGTTAAGGATATCATAGTTGAAATAAAGAAGAGGAAATTCACATGTATTGTCTTATTAACATTCATTCTGGAACCTTCCTCTTTTCTGTCATGTTTACATGTACTTTGGTTGTGTCTTGACTGTTGGTAGGTCATAAGAAATGTAAGAACTGCACAAGGAACAAGGTCTAGTGAATAAGAATGTACACACAGCGCCAACTTCCACGATTGATGGGCTTTCTGAAGGTCAGAAAGCTCTCCGTGCTCTTTGCTTATTGTTCTTTCTTTCACAGTTCTGACATTTGTTGTATCTTTTAGTGGGTTTTGACTTGAATCCAAACAGAATACTTGCTCCGTATTCCATACAAAGCGAGAAGCGGATGGAATACAGAGCACTATAAAAGTACATTGACATATGGGGAGCCTTGTACAGTTCTTTGAGATCAGTAGGCATACAATGTGTGTGAATTTGATCAGGGCATTCACATCCACTGCTACAAACGTCATATTGCAGGAGCTGAGCCAGCTGTCACAGGAGCACATATTGCGCGAAATCAGCAGCACCCTGTCGCAGCGTCGCAAGCTTCACAACAAAGTCCAAAAGCTGGAAGGTGAAGTGCAGGAGCTGGAACGCACCCTAGTCTCGCCACCTCCACGGAGGCCGCCCACGCTTGTCTCTCCTTTCGCCACAATGCAGCAACACCCACAGCCTCCATCTGTGCCAATCTCTCTTGCGGGACCAGTCCCCGACCTTGTCTCTGATCCCATTGCAACGCAGCAGCAGATGGACAGCAAGCCCGACGACTTGTCAAATCGAATCATTCGTGCGACAACGCCGCCGCCCCCCAAGCTAGGACCCCAGGCCATGACATCGGCTTCGCCCGCTGCCGCTTGGCCGTCCACTTCCGTTTTGGCAAAGACGGCCGCTCAGGAGTCGCCGGTGCCGACAGATTCGAGCAGCGTGGTTACGGAGCATGGCCCTCCTGTCGGTGGGCCGCCTAGTGTCATACAGAGTGCCCCGCCAAAGGAAAAAGGTACCAAAGACAAGGTTGCCGCTGCTTCTCTTTCCAAGGTGGCGGTGTCGGCAACTTTGAATGCTGAGGATACCCAACCGGAGAGATCGCGGCCCCCCGTCATTCGGAGCGGTATCAAGGACATTGTCGACGCGAGTTGCTTCTCGATGACCTACTCTCCGGCAATGGCCGCTGGGCGAGCTTCGGCCGCTCACACCGAAGCCACTCTGGCTGCTGCACCGACGGCAGTGGCAACAAAGTCCGTGGACACGTTGCACGTAAGTCGGGACAAGTCCCCAACAAAGTCGAGCCACCATAAGGTGCCATTGCCACTGCAGCCGCGAACGACAGCTCCTCCACCGGAATCTCCAATACACTGTGCCACCCAGGACGAACTGCCGCCGACGCCAAAGACACCACTCGAGGAGTCGCCTGCTGCGAGTAGTTGCGGCGGAGCTGCACATATGTCATCGCGCAAGAGCAGCTCGCCGTCCAAGTCCAAGCATAGAAAGTCACCTCGGAAACGGGATACCAGCCCTCCTCCGCCGCCGCCTCCACCTCCACCACCACCGCCCCCACCTCCACCGCCTCCGTCAGCGTCTGCCTCACCACCTCTGCCTCAACAGGCCAAGAAGAAAGCGGAACTGGACGATGCAGCCACGCCCACGGCAGCACCTCCGTCAAAACCGTCCAATGGGCTCATCTTAAACCTGGGCAGCCTTCTAGCTTCGCGGAACGGCTACAGCCCGAAGCGGGAGGACAGAGCATCACGAAAACTCAAACGAAAGCACTCGCCGCACAAGCTGCGCGGTACAGACGCGACGGTGGAGAGCATCAAGCCTCCTCTGTTAGGGCTTGGGGACAAGACTGTGTGCATACGTATGAAGTCTGAAACTGGAGTGGATGTCGAAGGTAAGTTGCACAAAGAGGTTTTAGGTGATTATTGGACAAATTTTCATAATGTTCAAGGTAATCAGAAAACCGCATTAAATTTTGGTGTGGGCAGGTTGGTTGACTTCTAACTAGTTTCTGCAAGAGTTGCAAACACAGCAGTTTAGCCAGCATGGTAGTGGTGGGTAGTACAGTTGAATCTCGATAATTCGAACTCGAAGGGGCCCGAAAATTTGTTCGAATTGAAAGCTATAAACAGAGGGCTTTCCCTGCAGTGGCGCATGTGCATTGAGCTAACACACGAGGGGGAAGTTTAAGACTTGGGAGATCATTTAGACGTCAACCACTTGTTTTGAAAAAACCCTACGTTTCGAAACCGATTTAGTTTCTTCCTCAGGGGTGACTGGGAGACTACGTAGCAGTGGCGTCTTCAAAGCACTCGCGGGGCGGATAATGACCCCCCTCTTCTCTCTCTCTCCTTTTGCCGTTGAGCGCAGTCCATGTTTATACCCTAGGGGGAAGGGTTCCGAGAGAGTGGTTATGTTATGGGCTGTTCTCTGAATGTGCCATGACTCGAGTAATTTATTACCTTTTCCTCCAGTTCGGCTCTCTTTCAAGAATGACCGTCGCTTCGAAATTTATCCGGTGATCCAACGTCTAACGATGTTGGATCACCGTTGAAACTGCTTGACTTGACTTGACGTTGAAACTGCTTTGACTTGACAGGCTCCGTGCTGCTTGTGGCCTCTAAATTCAACATTTGCTGCTCAAAATTGCTGTGGGCAGTTGCGTTGTCGTAAAATACAGCAAGAAATGCAAGCAGATGGCATCATAGTATGCTTATTTTTACAATTCACATGCCTTGAAGGCTGATTTGACTTGTATTTGAGTATGCTTATTTTTTTTTACTCCCCTAAAATTGCTCACCCTTATCAGCATTATCGGCTCAAAATATAATCAAATCTGGAGGCGGCAGCTTAGGTCATTCACAAACTTAATAAATGTGTCATCACAAACTTAAGTCCTTAGCAAACCAAATGTAATTTCTAGTGTTTGTTTGCAGAAGCATTAATTTCTTTTTTAAGCCTGTTAGTAGCGTAGCACAAATTTGCTACTGCACCAAGGAATTATATGCTTGTGTTCACAGGACCTTGGTGCACACCTTTGGTATTATTTCACACGACTGGTGCTGGTGGTCAATTTGCACTACTGTAACAGTCTTGACTGTATCCTTACCTGTTTTTCTCTTTGTCCCACCTCTCTACCCTGATGCTTCATGCCTGCCCTTCCTTGATTGCTGCCCTTCTCTTTTCTCCGCTCTGTTGAAATGACTCCGCCTTTCTTTACACCGTTATTTTCTCTTTGACTGCACCCCTGGCCATCTTCCTTCTGGCACTCTCCTTCCCTCCTTGGCATTCTACTGTGGCCCCTTTGCCCCCCTCACAGAGAAGTTCACCATCAAAGCCGAGGCGCTGTCTCGGAGGCCAGAGGGCTCTTCACATGGCCGTCATCACTGGCAGGCACGTGTGAGCAGTGGCTTTGACAAGCTGGTCGCACTGGCCTCCTCCAACCCGCCGCCCGAGTCGACGCCGACTGCATCACGAAAGGAGCCGGCGACCACTGCCAGTGGGGCCTCGTCGTCTTCGTCCTCATCGTCCTCGTCGGAGCACTGCGAGGCCCCCCGACAGGCAGCTCTGCAGCAGCAGCCGCACAAGAAGTGGGTGGTCGATAGGGTTCACCGGAAGGACCGCGCAGGGGAAAGCGGCACGCAGCTCGAGAGCCTGTCCATCAAGATCAAGGCCGTGAACGCGGGCCCGCCCTCGCCGACGGCCCGCAAGAGGCATCGGAGCCCGCCGGCTCCTTCCCTGAGCACCTCTTCCTCCAAGAAGGGGAGTGGGGCGACGGTGGCCGGCCGGTCTCCGCTGCCCAAGAGGCGGGGCCCGCGCACCCCGCCGGACACGCCCCCTCGGACTCCATCTGCCTCCCCCGAGCGGCCCGCCACGCCACGTACGCCACTGTCGCCCGTGCCTCTTTCGCATCGTGCCCGCCACGAAGACGAGCACCCGCACAGCCCCATCAGCAGCGTGGATAGCCCGTTCAGCCGACGAAGCCGTTCCACAAGCCCCTTACCTGGCAGTCCCGTTGAAGGGGATGACGCCGACGATGCCGACCGTGCCACGCCACGCAGTGGCACTTCCAGCACCGACGAGCCGCCACGGCCACCACTAGGCAATACCGTGTATAACAAGCTTGGGCTTGGCACCCGGGACATATCGGTCACCTCCGAGCAGCAGCAGGCATCCTCGGTTGGCGTGGCTCCAGATAAAGATAGACTATGGGACTGGGCCAAAGAGCAACCGGCAGCCACGAAAACCCTCCCAGGTACACCGTCGCTCTCGGAGCCTGCATCATCGTTCAGCGCCGCAGTGTCGTACGCAGGCACCAGCCTGGCTACTTCGTCGCTGCGGTCGCAGGCGCCCCTGATGCTGGTCACCTCGTCAGCTTTGGCCCCGCCCCCGTTGCCACCTTCACTCACGCCGCAGATGGCAGCGGCACCTCCCCCGCCGCCTCCACCACCGCACTGCTCGCTGCCGCCGCCGCTGATGGCCAATGTGTCTGTGCCGCCACCATTCAACATGCCCCCTCCACCACCTCCTCCGCGCTCGGGACCTGTGTTCAACCCATCGCAGTTGGTGTTGCCAGACACTTCTATCCCACCCCCGTTTCTTGGGCCCAATCCAATGGCGCCTCCTCCGTGCAACTTCACCGTGCCCCCGCCCAACATATTGGCTGCTGCGGCAACCGGCCGTCCCGCTTCTCAGCATACTGCGGGAACTGAGCCACCGCCACAGCACAGATCCCGCCCCCATTTGGCCCCACCTCCTTACACGGCAGGGCCTTACACGCTACCCTTGGAGTCTGCTCAGCGAGTGCCTCATTACACTTCGCACCCGCCTGGACTGGCACCACACAAAATGGCCCATCCTGGTGAGGCTGCCTCTGCAGTCTGAGTCTGATGCGTCTTTATTTTGTGCAATTCTCGTGCGCAGTGCTTTTTTGCTGCAGGCCCCCTTTTATCCGAAGCTTTTTTCAGTTCCAAAGGGGCAAATGTGGGCCGTGTTCTGCTGCTTGAAATTCGGCCCTAATCTATGCACTCTTAACTCGTGCGGCATCCAAGTTGTGCAAAATGCAGAGCTTTAATTGACCGGTGTTGTTTGTGTGAACGCAGTCATCTGAACACGCAGCCTCCACCTTTGGGTCGTGCGAACAATGTGCTATGGAATGGTGTACATTTAAATGTGCAGTGCAGTCAACGGAAGCGAAGGATGTTTTAGGACAGTGATTTCGTGGACTAGACTGGAAGAAGTGAGTGAATTTTTCAGTAGTAGTGTCAACAGCGCTAGAAGCCGGGAAGTTGCTGTTTTACGAAAAGATAAGCTAGTTGGGAGTAATCTTGTGTGACAGCACACACGGCAACCTTCTTGATCTCAAGGTCGAAAGCTTGTGCAAGGGCTAATCGTTTTTTTTTTCGAGTTATATAAAGTGATTGACACATAGCTACTTGGCTCATTGTAGCTTACACACTCAAGCTCTCGTTGGCTGTTGGACCCAATTTTTTGGGTAATTTTTCAGTTGCTATTGGAGGGATAAGCAGGTTCCTTGAATTTTTACCACAGTAGGGTTAAAGAACCAATGCCACAGAAAATCTGGCTTCACTGGCATCAGCTGATGATGCCGGTGATGCCAGATTTGCTGCGTGTCTCATCTTACTGGATTTTTATTGCGGCGTGTTCCACTCTTATTAAAAACACCTTAGCGACCTCCAAGTTTTTTTTTTCATCAGTGTGGCTTTTTTTCAACACCTGCTGTGTTAGCTAAGCAGCTAGGAGGGTCGCTGAGTTTAAAAAAGCAGACTCCATTTCTGTCCATGGCGGACATGTTTGGCAGTTGTAAAATGCAAGAACTTCTGTCTATTTTCATTTAAGTGCACTTCAAGAAATGCTAAGAGATCAGAATTAGTCTGAAGGCACTCAGTGCGGCATGCATTGTAATCAGTGGTGTGCAGACATTCGAAATTTTGAATATCTTTTAATAGTGCTTGTTATTAAATTATTCTCACACCGTAATTTTACTATTAAATCTATTTGAACTTTCTGAAAAAAAAAAATACCATCAACGTCAAATTGGCAGTGACCTCATATTTTTGGTATGCTGCTTCACCCCATGACACTCGTATTGCATCAAAGCCGTGCCTTATAAGCTCTGCTGCGGCTGCAAGTGTATTGACTTAAGAAAACGCACGTTCCAATGAAGAGGTGATAGATGTGGCAGAGGTGGGGGCGCAGTTAATGGTGTTCCGGGCCTGAAATATGGGCAGGAATTAAGAAGGGTTCCACAGATCTTCAGCATCCAAAATTTTAGATGTAATTATATTGACATCTACAGGCAGACTTGGAACCCCAGACTTAAAGGGAGCACACAGTTGGGTTTCCTCATAAGTTGAAAAATGAGGAGAGGTTGAGAAAACTGTTCTTGCCTTTCACCTGTAAAGAGTTGTCCGCAACACTTTGGTTGCACCAAATCATGTACATAAAAGGTATTTCGCCTCTGCATTGCCTCGTTCTTCATAAGGCAACTTTGAAACCCCAGCCCACCAGCTCTTCAGCAATCTAGCCAAAAGAAACTTTCATGTTGCTATTTCGTAAGAATGTGCACAGAAATCCTCTCCAACTTTTTTTCCTGCGATTTCACTTCAGAGCATTTGAAAAATATTCGATTCGATTCGATTCACACTCGCACTTTTAATATTCAAATTCTTTTCTCACCCAAAACTTTTGCTTTTCGCACGGCTCTAGTTGTAATCTTGCTGTGCTTTTGCAAAGTAAAATCCTAGAACTTTCATTACCAAGGCTAAAGTTGCTTTCGGTCAATTAGGGCGTGATATTGATAAATTAGTCTCTAAGAATTAGTATTGATGGACACTTTTTATGAAAATTGTTGGTGTCATTGAGCAATGCTTGCATCCCTAGTGAACTGAGAGTTTGAATCAGTGCAGTGGCGGCAGCGCGCTGACGGTGTGGTGCCCTGTTTTCGCTCTCCACACAGTGCACGCACAGCACTACCTGACTTGACGGCGGCGTCACCGGGGCTCGACCCGAAAGCGGAAACGACGAGATTCTCAGCATCGCCATCACCACACTGCCACTGCACTTGTTGACGAAGCGACGACCGTAGAGTCGCTGGGACGCAGTTCGGTCGATGCCTGATTATCCTGTGCGATGCGATGTGTGTACGCACGCGTTCGAACGTTCTTGCTTTGGTTCCGTTTTGAAAGCTTTTTGTGGGCCAACGACCGATGCTGGAGAGCGAAAGAGGTGATCACAGTCATCGTCTTTCGGTTGCTCGGGCTCCGGATTCCTTCTAGAGGAAGGCGCCGCATCGTTTTTTTTGTGTTTTTGACGGGGAGGGGAAGTGCGTTTCCGTTCTGTTATAGACAGGGTGCTGCTTATTTTGTCACTGGCCAGCGGAAACCTCACTCCTTTAATCTTGCATGCTGCATTCGTGAAGAAGCACTTTTACGAGTTCTTGTACTTTGTTGCATGCTTTAACCTTTTTTCGATAACCCTCTCGATTATTTATTGAGCGTGGCCTATTGATGCCGAACACGATGAGTGCTAAGCAAGTGGAAAGAAAATGAACGGAACTGTGGCTCGCCCAGTCGGCCTGGAATCTACGGTCATGCGTCTGAATTGAAATCAAGCAATGCTTTCTTTTGTTGTTGTCGTCCATTGTAGATATTCGGGAGTTTCGCCTTATTGCGCAGGTCCCTGCTCATTCGTGCGCCTTGTATTATATGCATGTGTTTACCAATGACATAGGAGGGTTTCCTGGCGTGGCCAGACGGTGCGAGCTGTGCGCGAGAGGCCTTCCAGGCGTAATGGAGTCTCGAATCATCACCATGTTTAACTGATGCGCTTTTTTATTGTCGCGCATCGCCAATTTGCAATGCAAATGCTGGTTTCAGATGGTTCCCACGAAGCGACAAGCAAGCCGAGGGTTCTGTGAAAGATTACATGCTCTTCTGAGTTTCGATGTGGATGAGTGTATTTATGCTATTTTTTTCGATTGCCAGCTCTACCAATGGTATGACAAGAAGTTTGCATGTCTAGGCCCTCGGTTTTTACGCCAGGAAAATTAACTTGCCCTTCTCCATGCTGTTTGTTTTATTTATTGTGTGTTTTTTTAGCTTGGACATTTTCCCCTCCCCTAACCAAAGCGTGCCACAGACATGCACTGTAGCTCATTATTAACTTTGAACACTGCCACCATTTATAATTTTTTTTTTTAGTATTTTTCACGAGAAACTAGTCAGAAAAAGTGAATCGTAGTGTTTGTCCTCTAGTAGGTTCGTGGCGTTACCTTTTTTTCCTCTTCCAAGCTTTAATTCCCATGCTTTCCGTGTAACATGGGAACGGGAAAAAAAAACACCCTCTTTTTTTTTTGTATGTTCTTACCTGTTCTCTACACTTTTTTTAAAACAAGCACTCAGTGCACGTAGTACTTCTTTCAAACACTGGGAAAATTTCGTGAGAAAGGTGATGTCCTTTTTGCTGTTTTCTTAAAAAGCTTGCTGGACTTACGGTATCATGCAGATTCTACAAAAACAAAAAAAAAAAGGACATCTTGCTCGTTTGCGGATGCCTTTTTCATAGTGTTTGGGAACTGAAAAACCAACAAGGGAGGCGAGCCATCGAGACCAAAATGTGTTCATTTGTCCGACTGCTGGTTAGTCTAAGGACTTTGCTGTCAGCGGTTCTTTTTTTTGGTTTCCGTCTTCCTTGACTGTTCGGCTAGTGGACCTTTTCATTTAATTCCGGCACTTAATTATTGGAAGTTACGGTTACATAGAAAATGTTGCTTCCAGTGTTCCTTTTCTTTTTATGCAAATGGAAGTGTTCCCGCTTTGTGCATTCGCATTCGGCATTTTCATGCGGGCGTATTTGAGAACTCTAGTGCCTACTATTTTCTGGAAAGTGGCTCAGTTGGGAGTTGCAAAAATGGTTTTGAGTTTTGCTGAAGCTCCAAGCAACTTTTAAGCTCTACTTCCCACTTCAGTGGAGGCAGGCTGTTGCACCTGACACTTCTGAGCAGTCGGCATAAAGTTGTGCAAGAAATCATTGCCTAAGAGCATATGCATAATGGCTTGAGAAGGTTTGGGCAAAACTATACTTTTCACTAAAGCCACACTTCAGTGTAGTGCGCTGAACTTCTGACTTTCGAGCCGCCCAGTTGTTGTCATTTGGCAACAATGCTGAAAAAATTGAGCCTTTTTTTCTGATGTTTGCGAATGTCGTAAATTTTAAAATTGGTACTACTTTAGTGTCAGTGTTGCAGCAGTGTCAAAATATTATGTTTGCATATTTTCGATGACATACTGTTGACACACGCTACAAGCCAAGGCTTGAAGGCTGGACTGATTATGAGGAATCCACATTATGAGGAATCCACGAGAGCTCCAAAAAGAATGGGTGGTACGATACACCAAAAACTGAAACCTCAGTGCTTCGCGCCATCTTACAAAAACCTGTGGGGATCTAAGCAGCCAGTGAATGAGAAAATTTTTTGCGACACTTCCTACATTTAACATCATTTCCAGCTGTTTTTTATGCTCAGCTGCAAATTCACATGTCTTGATTTCATATGTGTCTTGGCTCACATATCTCGGTCATTTCACGCGGGAAATATCTTCTCCAACCTACTGCCTTCCTTGGCAAGCCCGTTTCCCCTGCATTTCTTAAAGTTCTTTTTTTCCAACGTGTCTTTCCTCCTCGAATCATTCCGTGCTGCTTGGCCAGCAGTTAATTTAGTAGCAAGAAGCAATCACTGCCTGTGTTTGCATGCGAGAACAAGGTGTGCCATTGGTTGTCCCGACAGCCTTTCATTGTGCACTTCAAAATGCGGATTGTGGACTGAAAGACCCTCTTCAGGGACACATCTCCCATTGGTTTCAGTTTAGTGCTCTGTATGTTTTTTTTTTCTTTTAACATGTGTTGCCAAGCTAGGTACGCTCGTCTTTGCTTCACATTACACTGCGGCTGCGTGTTTTGACTGTTCCTTCTTTTGTTCCCTCTGCGCGTGCTGCTATGAAAGGCCTTGCTTCCTCGCAAATCCTCTCTGCCTGTATTTGTTGCGCGTGAGACCCCGCCATTTGTACCTGTGCCGGAACGCTTGAACTTTTTCCAAGAGTCTGTCTTTTTATACGTGGAATAAATAGTGCGGGGGTTTTTTTGTTTTACACTAGCGTTTGCTATCTGCGCAGCACTCGTGAGAGGATGTGCATGTGTGTGCGTATGTGCGCATAACTTGGAATCTACTGCCTGTTGAATGCGCGTCTTCTTGATGTTGCGCGATCTGCTTCCCTCGCCGTTAGGGGTTTGGTCTCGTATCCGCATCCTCTTTTGTTGTCAGCTTCCTGCGGTGTTTTTATGTTTTCTCTCTTGCGCCTAATCCGTGAATGTTTTTGTCGAGGTGCAACCTGTGTCTGGCCGATGAACCCGCAAACCCAGACACACCTGAGAATGAACACTGCCACTCAATGCATAGCTTGTAAATGGTCTCTGTGTGCCACATTGTTCTAAACATTTGTTCTCTGTGCATGTGTGTTTAAGCGTCTGTTGTTTTGGGTGAAGGAGTTGCGTGAAAGTGCTGCAGTGCTGAAGGTTTTTTCGGGGTACTGGCCAGCAATGTGCAAAGATGGGCTTGCTAGCTTCACCTCCCTTGCTCCGCGTTGATGAAGTGGGGTGAGTTGGTGTAACTGTGTGCGTGTGTACTTGTGTGCTCTAGTATTGACCTGGCTGTGTTGGCAATCTTTTCCCCGATGCCGTGTATACACACCACTGTTATCTCTAAGTATGAATAGCTGTAGCACTGTGTTATTTTTCTGATTTCATTACAGTTTTGGTGATGGAATAAGTCGAGAGGGCACAGTATTGTAGATAGTGTTTTTAGTGCTGTGAGAGAGGAAGAGATGAGCAGGGATGAAGTCCCACTTCTTTTTTTTTCATGAGTGGTAAATGATGTGTTAAACAAAAAGCCTGTGTATGCGCACAATTACTTCTTCACTGTGAGGTGTGCCCATAGTTCGAAGAGCGTACGTTCGTTCCATCTGTAAATGGCCGCCGAGTAGTTAGGCGTGCGTAAGCTTGCTCGCTAGACTCGCATTTCCGGTAACCTGAGTGTAGGAACAGTGTGTGCATGGTTACGGATGTTGTAGAGAACCCATTCATGAGGGGTAGACAGGCTTGGCCATTACACAACATGTCTAGTTGTGTGTGGTTCGCTGTGGCATACAGTTTGAAGTGGGGGGGGGGGGGGGGGGGGGGGGGTAGCTTCGGCTTGGTGATGTCTGTGCTCTTCATGTTTGCGCCTTATACTCAATGCCTGGCATCTTGCGTGTTTCCTTCCGCAGTCTCAGAGTTTTGCAAAGCTTGCATTGCCTGGATGGCGTTCGAGTTTGCGTTTAAGTGACTTGCTATCACAATCTTACGTAACTAGCCATTGTACTGGCATTTGAGTGCTATGGGCTTGGTAGGTATGGTGTGCTGCCTTGGTGTCGAAGGTTAAGTGCATAAAAGGCTGGAAGATACCTGTCATGCCGTACTTCAATTCTGTGTCACATTCACTAACTTACAACTGAACTTCTATGAGATTAAATGCTGACAGCAAAAAAGACCTAGACTCTAGCAAATTGGAACCTGCTTTGGCTTGCATTGTACAGTAGCTGTGGCAGTTGTAGGGTGCGCAGCGTAATCTACCGTTGAAATATCAACGTGTTATTTACCCCTAAAACATTTGTCTTGGTAAAGTGAGCTTGTATCAAAGTTAGAGGGCGCAGACAAGATTATGTCAGGTCTTTTTTTGTTTGAACATCTAGTAGCCAGCAGAGTTATAATGCATCAGCTGTAGCGTTTAAGCGTACTTGAGAACTGCGATTATCATTGACCCGAGTGAGCATGAAGGAACACTCATGGCAGCAGTATGGAAGTTTAGCATGTACTCCTTTGGGATAATTTATAGCACATCATCTGCATATAACTCATCAATTACATGTACATGCTGCACATGTACATGCAATTGATGAGTTAATGATCCATGAGTTAATGATCAATTTATTTATGAGTTAATGGATCGATTCCTTTTAGACGAATGTCATTTCTTCGCTCTTTAGTCGGCTGAAAAGTAAGCACAATTAGGAAAAATTAGTTGTTTTATGATTGTTTGGTTGACCAAATAAAAGGGCTTCTGTTTTTCTTCATGTAGTTAATGAATTCGCTTTTCTGATTAACCAAGTTTTTGTGCTCTGAGCGGAACGGCAAAGTGTATAATACCCTCGAAGCTGTTGCCTAGAAATAACTTTAAAAACAACTCAGATACTATGAGTACTGATTGACGAGCCCAAGGGATTTCCTCATTGTAACACACCATGCTCAGAAAGCCACTGCTCATGCATCAATTGACAAAGATGCAGTAGTCTGCGAAACCATAGCAGCACACCACACTCCACCAGTCGTATAGTTCATTGATGGCTGTGGGTCGTGCCAAGCAGCCTGGAGGTTGGTCCCCGGTGATATCCCTCTACATGGCGCCAATGTAAGCTTCGCAGAAGCTTACATTGGCGCCGTGGCAAGTCTTTCACTCCCCTCTGGAAGACACAGCTGCTTACCACGACCCATCACCTTCGCTGTTCTGGGCTAAGTGGGTAAGATTGGATACCCTGATGTTTACTTGAGCTTACATATAGGTGAAACAATGCAAATGTGGAAAAGACGTCGTCTCCTTGTTGTAAGCAGTACGGCCAAGCATACAGTGGGCTTTTTCCCAACTCTGATCTGTTGTGAGAATGATGCGAGATGACCAGTGTTTTGCAAGAGCCGTACTGGAGCAGAGCCATCATTGTGGATCGAAGGATCATTGTGTGTGTGTGTGTGTAAGGTACTTTGCTGACAGGCTTTTGACAGGGCCGTCTGTGGTATCGCCTGAGCCTGCTAGACAATGCATGTGCATCATTTCTGTCTGACTCTCAGTCGAGGCAGTGTTTTGAATCGTCTGAGCCTGCCGGAGCGGAAATGCGTGCACTGTGTTCTACATGGCGGTGTTTGAGCGTTTGTTGGTGGTGAGCTGCCGAATGTGTTGTTGTAAATGGGTGTTGTGAGCACAGTCCCCCATCTAAGCTGCGGTGACAAGGACTTTGTGCGTTTTGGGCATTCTTGCCGGGTGTCGCTTATTGAGGCACACCGGTATTTCAGTTTTCCTTTTGTGCCTGCTCTTCGGCACTATTTCTATATTGTTCACGTTTTCTCTCTGTGTGTACAGACACCTCTTCTTGTTGGGCATTTTCTTTTTAAATTGCTACCTTTTCCTCATGTGGTCTACCTGGCTTGTATTGTGGATGACGGGTCTGTTGCTGGCACTGTATGGAAATGCACTGCGCTTGCAAAGTGGTTTGATAGGCAGGGACACTCTTTCCTCGCATGGTGTGTTTATGCTTAGTGTGAGGAAGCTTGGGAACATTGCAATTGATTGGTGTGTAATTGGCATTTCCTTGTGTATCAACAGTGTATGATCAGTGTGGCTTCATCTCAATGTAGCCTCAGTTCTAGATGAACGATGGTCGTGACGTACACAGCCCACTTTTGCAGGTGCCCCTCCCTTTTCTTGCACAAAGTGTCAGTTGGACGGCTCTTACCAAAAACTGTGGAAGCGTTTAAAAGAACACACCACACATTTGTTCCCCACTGCCCAAGAGGTCTTGCACATGCGATACAAGGCCAACTTAATTTTGCTTACGTGGCCCTTCAGCAGCCCACACTGGACGGAAAAGCTGAAATGTACCTGCGTCCGAATTGTCCACTGCGGTGTGGCTCTGGTGTGTCAGTCGTTCGTTACTGCGACAACTGCAACGCCTTGAATCTGCTGTCGGCTTCTCTGATTGGCTTGAATTGTCAGGCTCGCCAAGGAGCCCTTGAGAGCAGGGCGCCTGGATCGGCAACTTTTGTGTTGGGGCTCCGCCTCTTTGCCTGTTGCGTTCAGTGGTCGGTGTCGCGTCGTTCAGAAGCGTACCTGAGTTTAGAAGCTGCCAAGCGCCTCGTCGCTGCACTGTTACCTGCTTACACCACTTACCACATTAACCATCGTGTTCGTTTAGCAAGGCATCAGTATTTTTGCATGTGCACGATTGAACATTTATGCTGCCCGCTTATCAACCATCTTAATTTACTCTGTTCAACGTGACAACCAAAGCATACGATGCCGCCAACACACGGGCCCGCCGGTATGTCGTTTTTGTTTTTTCCGGTTGCAGTTTATATTGCCTTAATTACGTTTTTCTCTTGACTATAATGACTAGGTAGGGTGTGTACAGTAGGCAGTTGGTACATGCCTAAGTTAATTGTTAATGACGAATATAAAGATCGGTTGGTGCATTTTTGTAGCGCACCAGAG